CATCCCACCCATGCCATTTCATCCCACCCATGCCATTTCATCCCACCCATGCCATTTCATCCCACCCATGCCATTTCATCCCACCCATGCCATTTCATCCCACCCATGCCTGTTCATCCCACCCATGCCATTTCATCCCACCCATGCCATTTCATCCCACCCATGCCATTTCATCCCACCCATGCCATTTCATCCCACCCATGCCATTTCATCCCACCCATGCCTGTTCATCCCACCCATGCCATTTCATCCCACCCATGCCATTTCATCCCACACATGCCATTTCATCCCACCCATGCCATTTCATCCCACCCATGCCATTTCATCCCACCCATGCCATTTCATCCCACCCATGCCATTTCATCCCACCCATGCCATTTCATCCCACCCATGCCTGTTCATCCCACCCATGCCATTTCATCCCACCCATGCCTGTTCATCCCACCCATGCCATTTCATCCCACCCATGCCATTTCATCCCACCCATGCCATTTCATCCCACCCATGCCATTTCATCCCACCCATGCAAGTTCATCCCACCCATGCCATTTCATCCCACCCATGCCATTTCATCCCACCCATGCCTTCTCATCCCACCCATGCCTTCTCATCCCACCCATTCCTTCTCATCCCACCCATGCCTTCTCATCCCACCCAGCTGCGATAGCATCCGTGGGCAAGAACGAAGTGGGCGTGCGTGCAACCACTTTTGGGAAGCACTCGTGGCAGCATCAGCACGATTCTCTCGAGCACGAATCGGCCTCTGCCAAGTGGCGAGATCCCGTCGAGCCACGGCAGCTCCTAACTGGTGCGGATGGAAGGCGAGGATGATGATGAAGACCCAGACGCGGAGCACACTGCCACCGTAGAGGCAGTAGAAATATGATGATGCGAGTGCTGATGTTGCCCTTGCGCCTGCAGAATGGGGCCTGTTGCAGCAGGTAGAGAGTAGCAGCGGTGGAGAGTAGGGTAGGGGTGAGTAGGGAGACTATGAATGCTGCGAGATGGTAAAGGCACAAAGATGATCCCAGTAGGGCAGCCTTGACAAGGGGTTTTGGCGAGGGATTCTGACTCTGACACATGACAAGGGATTTTGAAAAAAAAATGGAACGCAAGGGATGGGCGCCGATATATGCGCTGTCATGCACGACTAGATTCATAGGGGGAAATGTACTCCCCTCCCCCCTCCTCCCCCCCGCCGCCCCCCCCCCCCACGACTAGATTCATAAGGGGAGGGGAAGCAACAAAAATGCGCAGACAAGGGTGGGGAGCTGCAGTGCAGACCGTAGCATCCTGCCCTGGTGCGCTGGAAAAGCGGTGGAAAGATGTGAGATTTCGGATGGTGGAATGGAGGGTAGGGAAGGAGGAAGAAACAACGAGGAAAGCAACGAGAGGGGGAAAGCGAGGTAAGGCAGGGGGAGGTGCAAGCTGCAGTGCACACCGTATCGCCCCGCCAAGATGCGCTGGAGATACGGGTTATTGTGTGGGGGGATGGATGGTAGGGAAGGACGAAGAAACGATGAGGGATGCAACAAGGGAGGCAAAGCGATGAGGGGGGAGGTTCATGCTGTAGCGCCGCGGGAAGCTGGAAAGGTGTGGGTTGGCGGGAGGGGTGGGGTGATGCAGGGGAGGGAGGGTGGAACGAGTATGGGCAAGGGCGGGAGAAGGGAGTTGGAGGCTGTAGCGCCCAGCCATGTTGCCGTGAAAGAGGTGGGGAGGGTTGGGCAGTGGGGTTGGGAGTAGGTGGAGAGAGCGAGGTACATGAACGCGCATAAGTATGGGTCTCCTGGCTCTTTGGTTCAATGGTTGAGGCCCTTCAAAAGGGAGGAACATGAGGATGCACGAATATGAGTCGCCTGTCTCCTACCTAGCTCCTGGTTCGTAGCTTGTGCCTCATGCAACCACGGGAGGTGGGCACATGCAGGGGCAGGGCAGGCAGTGACCTGCCAAAGCTATTTAACACCAAACATTGTAGTGAGGGCCGAAGCCAATGCACGGGGGGACTGCTTTCAAGCAGTTGATGCCATGGGCTTCATTGGCCATCCAATGCAATGGTCCATGCGGCAAAAAGAAGGAATTACTGTGTGCCAGCCGGGAATCGAACCCGGGTCTGCACCGTGCTATTGGCAGGGTGCTATTCTACCACTAGACCACTAGCACTAGGCAGACATGACACCAATATGCGGTGATGAGTCAATCGATCGATGTAGTAGATGGGATGGGGTTATGGGATATTTGGGTGATGGGATGACGGGGTAATAGTGTGATGGGATGGGATGATGCAATCAAGGGACTGTCTCCTCCACATGAAATGGTTGACACAAAAGACAATGGGGTGTGAATGGCAGTGGTGGCGCCACAGGAGGCAAATGAGAGAACCGACCTGATTCGGTAGAGATGAGTGATCGCTGATGGGTGTATGAGTGTAGAGGCGGCAGGGAGCGGATGGTACTGGCTGGACTATGCACAACTGTAGCATCCGTTCACTGCTGGAGGGAGAGAGAGGGAGAGAGAGGGAGAGAGCAGGGCGGGTTGGAGCTGCTGCTGGCTGCACTATGCACACCTGCGGAAGTGGGGGATGGTAATCGGGTTGGGAATGGGGAAGGGGACGTTGATGGAGAAGGGGATGGAGGAGGGAATGGAGGAGGGGATGGAGAAGTGGATGGGGGTGGAGAAAGGGACGGGGATGGGGAAGTGTAAGGGGAAGGGAATGGGGGGAAAAATTTGATTCGAGAGTGAGCTAAGAGTGACCTTCCACTGACCCAGTAGTGGCCCACTGGTGACCCCCGATTAACCCCTTGCACCCAGCCAGCAATGAACAGTACAAGTAAACATCAGCAGTAAGGTGTGTTGAAGAGAGAATGAAATGAAGCCAGCTAGGAGGGAGTGAGCGGGGGAGGGATGAGGGAGGGAGTTGAGGGGGGAGTGGAGGGTGAGGGGATTGGAGAGGGAGAGAGCAGGGAAGGAGGGAAAGGAGCGGTGGCCATGGTGGGAAGGATAGCATGAGGGTTTGGGCAGGCGGACGACAAGTGAGGGTGCAGGAGACACAGGCGCACAGCTGGGGGTGCAATCATTACGCTTCCGGCAGCGGCGCCGCTGGCAGTGATGCAACGGCGGGTGTGATGCATCATTCCAGTGAGGCGGAGGCCCGTGGTGATGCCTGAGCACGCACATCGCAGGCCCAGTCATTCCAATCGGCCCATGTAGATTCGACGGGGACAAGTCGCAAGTCGGGGCATGAAAGAGCCTGGAGTCGTGATAGACGATTGGGATAAGGGGAGGGGTGCCGGAGGGGTTGGGAGGGGTAGGGGAAGGGGTTGAAGGAGGAATGAGAAGCAGAAAGGGGAAGGGGAAAGGGAGAGGGTAACGGGAGCGGGACAGGGTACGAGGGAAAGGAAGCGGGTCGGGGGAGGGGGGTGGGTAAGGGAATGGGGAGGAGGTAAGGGGGAGGGAGGGGGTACAGGTAAAGAGAGGGGTAAGGGTTGGGGGGGGTGGACAAGGGAGGGGGAAGGGGCAAGCGAAAGGGGAGTGGGTAAAGGTAACGAGAAGGGATAGGTTTCAAATAGTCATCCGATGGTGTCTGGGCAAGCAGTGTGGCTGTGCGAGTGGGTGCGAGAGGGCATGGGAACAGCAAGCAGCAAGGTGGAAAAAAACGGTTGCGGTAAAAAACGATTGAAAAGAACGATCGTTTTTTACGGTTAAGTTTGGGAAAAAAACGTCGTTTTTTTGTTAGGCCCAAAAAAACATTCTGAAAAATATAAAAAAAAAAACCTAACAAATCCCCAGGGACCAACACTCTCTGGCAAGTCAGTGTTGATAAGTTTCTAGCCTGATTGGCCTCGAGGCTTTGCGAAATCAGCGAGAGCAGGGAAGCGAAGTGTTGGCATGCCGCGCCTCGAAGGTGGGTCCCAATTTCTGCATGTCGCGCCTCGAACGTGGGTCTAAATTTCTGACCCACGATTCCTCTCTGTACTGGGTGGATTCACTTGAACCCACATGCCTGTGCTCCCTCATGAATCCTCCCGCTACCTCTCCCCTTGTGTTGCTTGTGTATACAGTGAAACCCTTCTCTGCGAGTTGTGCGTTATCCGGAGATAATCGTAACTGTAAATTGTGGTACAAAAAAAACGATCAAAAAAAACGATCGTTTTTTTTCACGAAAAAAGGACTAAACAATATTCTCGTTTTATTCCGTTTTATACGATCGTAAATTACGATATCGAAAAAAACGACCAAAAAAATGAAAAAAAAAACGTCGTTTTTTTGCACCCTGGCAAGCAGGAGCTAAGTTGCCAAATACGCTCAGACCTGTTTGCGTTTAGCGGATATCCGCTTGCGTATACACGCAACACGCTATACGCAAGCGAATCCGCTATACGCTCGTCAATTTTTTTCTGGGGCAGCCCGGGCGGAAAAAAATATCGAATATACGGAAAGATGCGGAATTTCACGAATTTCATTTTGCCGAAGGCGAATTGCACGTACGTGACTTGTCGAGCCCTGGACGTGGCATTTTGCCGAAGGCGAATTGCACGTACGCAACTTGTCCAACTGTGGACGTGGGTTCAGCCCACGTAGTCGCGATTGGTTGTGCCAACTTGACAAGTCGCAATTTCACGTTCACACATTTGGCGCTCTGTATGGTACCGCATTCAATCCCCACCCATCTACTCACTCCAACCACTTGTCTCAATGTTCCCTTCTCTCTTTGTGCTATTTAGTGGCATGCAAGCAACTACGCAATCCATTAGTTTCCCGTCTCTTTCGTCATGTCTAGCCCGCCATGCGCAACGCCATCCGTTCCGACAGATCAGAGTTCAGGGAGTGTTGTACCTGAGGGTAGGGAATACCTTCCTGACAGGGCCCACGCCGTCTTCAAACATTTCCGCATCATTGCACGGGTCGAAGGCAAAGCACAGCAGTACGAGTGCAAGTACTGCTGCAATGTTTTCACCGGTGCAGCCATTCGTTGCGCGCAGCACCTGAGCTCGTGGGAGGGAATGAAGCGTCGCGAGGTGGCGCTTTGCAAGGAGGCACCGCTGCACGTACGCAAAGAGATGCGCACCAAATACGAGGCGCTGGCTGCCGCGACCGAGGAAAAGCGTCGAGCAACATCTGCTGCGGTTGCGGCGGTCCAGGCTGGCAGTGGGAAGCGGCGCATAACCGACTACTTGGAGGGAGATGCTGCTGCGGCTACGCGGGAGGCGAACGAGGGCCTTGCGCTGATGTTTGCGGCCTGCAGAATCCCGGAGGTCACGATTAACCACCCGCTATTCGTCAAGAGGAGCTTTATTGGCGGGGCTGGACTGGTCGCTGTCCGCAAAGGGATTGAGCAGGGGCTGATGGGGATTAAAACCAGCTGGAAGAAGACGGGGGTAACAATTGCGTCCGACATGATGACGGACAAATGTGGGAGGGCGCAGGCGAATGTCCTCCTGATTAACGATTCCGGCGCCGTCTTTAAGGAGGCGATCGACTGCGGTATGGAGCGTAAGACTGGGGGGTACATAGCGGGGATTCTGCAGCCGGTGGTGGAGGAGGTAGGACCAGAAAATGTCGTCGCGTTTTGTATGGATGGGGGATCTAACTATGCCGTGGCTGTCCAGGAGCTGATTGCCAAGTGGCCCCACATTCAGCAGGTCCCTTGTGCTACGCATGTCATGGATCTCCTGCTGGAGGACGTGGGAAAGATGGGGTGGGCAAAAGGGGTGGTGGATCAGACTGGGGAGATGATTTCTTTCGTGCGCAACCATCATTGGACGCGCGCTTACCTGAGGACCAAGGAGTTGGTTAAGGGGAAGGTGCTGCAGCCGCTGAAGCCGGCGGGAACACGTTTCGGGACACAGTACATTGCTGTGTCCCGCCTTTGTGAGTTGCGTAGCACCCTGAACGAGATGGTGCTTTCCGACAAGTGGAAGGAGTGGGCCGTGGGGTCGCGGAAGGAATCTGCCGATGCGTTTTCTGGGCGGGTCCTTGATGCCGCATGGTGGCGGACGGCTGAATTCTTCTGCAAGCTGATGAAACTGCCGTACAAGACGATGCGGCAGACGGACGCGGATGCGAAGGGGATGATGGGGCGACTGTATGATGTTATGCTGCAGCTTACGGAGGATGTCAACAACCTCTTGGACGACGAAGAGGAGCAGCTGAGTAGCACGGACAAGGTGCAGATCCGTCGCATCATCAAGAACCGTTGGGATAACAACCTCGCCTGCGCCATGCACGTCGCTGGCCGAATCCTCAACCCCGCCAACCAGGAGGAGGATATCTTCGGCAGCGACGCAGAATGCACCCGGGTGTTCAAGGCATTTATCAACCAGCACGTGGAGTTCCTCATCGGCCACGAAGGGAAGGGGAGGGATGCTGGTCCGGATTACTTGCTTGCCTTGGGTGACGGGCTGAGGGCTTTCTTGGACCTGAAAGGAAGTTTTGGGATGCCGGAGGCGCTTGCACAAAGGGAGAAGGTGAAGGGGGGTAAGTACAGCATGGTGAAATGGTGGCAATGGAACGGCACAGATGCACCTCACCTCATGTCTCTCGCCGTGAGGGTGCTCTCTCAGCCTGTATCGGCATCCCCTTGTGAGCGTGGGTGGGGAACTTGGGATGCAGTCCACACAGCCCGCCGGAACCGCCTCGGATCTGCAAAGTGCCAGGACCTGGTTTTTGTTGCGCACAAGTGGAATGTTGTGCGCAACTGGCACTCGCGCGCAGATGTGATGCCGAACCTTGTGCCAGGGATTGGGGCCGAGCCTCCAATCCCCGAGGGGTACAAGGGGCTGGATGAGACGGAGGTGGAGGAGGAGGAGGGCGAGGATGACGTGCTGGAAGACGAGTATGCCTAGAAGAAGGTTTAGTGTACGGGGGGGCATGTGGAATGTAGCGGGAAGGCTGGTTTAGGTTCTCATGTCCTAGTCTAGGTGGTACTTGTAGCATGGTGTTTGGTGTTGGAATGATATTATGGCTGCAGAAAAAAACACACTTGCAAAACCCCCAACATTTCCCCACCCCCAAGCATCCCAGGGAATTTTTCACCCCTGCCTGTAAATTTTTTTACCTGCCCGAAATAGCGTATCCCCTAAACGACCCCCTCAGCGGATAGCGTGAAAACGCTAGCGGATATACGATAAGCGTATATACGCTATAAGCGTATTTGGCAACTTAGAGCAGGAGCGAAGCAGAGCTGGATAGGTCAGGGATGAGATGAGGGTGGGAAGGGGAAATTGTGCATGGGTGGGTGGGTGCATGGCCAACTCCCCTCTCCCCACTTCATTCTCCCGCCTATCCTTCAACACCCCTAGCTTCAACCCCCCTCCTTTCACCCTCCTTCCTTCACCCCCACTTCCTTCACCCCCACTTCCTTCACCCCCCCTTCCTTCACCCCCCCTTCCTTCACCACCCCATTTTTAGCCATCCCTTCTCCCCCGCTTTCTCTCAAGTGAATCTCACATGCATCTCCACCCCTCGGTATATGTGGGATACACAATTGCCAAGCCGGATGGATGGGATCATGGGAGGGGGATGCGACTGGGAGCTGGGTGGGAAGGGGGGATGAGGATTTGGGAGGGGAGGTAAGAATAATGAGGGGAGATGGGGAATATACCTCACCTTCTCAACTCACCTGGCCTGCCCATTAACTCCCTCCACTCACTCTCACAACCATCCCGCAGCCACTCACATCTACACCGACTCCCACCGTGGCCACATCCACCCTTTCCACCTGACCCACCCACCCCACACCACAGCGACTCACCCTGCCGATATTCTGGCACACCGCCCATCAATGTTAGCGACAAACGTGCCCTCCATGGCTCCGCCAGCCCCGTCACCACTTTCTCCACCTCCTCCCCGTCCCAGCAGCAGTCCCCCCTTTCACCACTTTCTCTCCCTCCCCGCCCTGCTCGCCGCCGCCACTGCCGCCGCCAACGCCGCTTGCGCTGCTTCGCGGGGTCCCCACCCGTCACTTCGCCGCTGCCGCAGCGCTTCCTGCTTCCGCCGTTCTTCTCCCACTACGTTCTCTTTGAAATATGTCGTTGTAACATCCACATCCTTCTCCTGTGCTTCCAGAGTCGCTGACCTCACCAACATTGGTGCCTGATCGGATCACGCGGAACTTGCAGCTTCATTATCAGTCGACGAGCCGCCATTAGTAGTAGCAGAAGACTCAAAACTACATACAAAAACTAGGGTTTCAGCCGTTAACAATCGTTTTCCTAAAGCTACTACCGGGTTTCAAACCCTCAAATTCGCCTGTAGCCAGAGACTCGAGAACGATTTCAGTGCGGATGTCCAAAATACCGTTCGCGACGTGCTGGCCAGGGATGTTGCCAGTTTAGCTTTAGCCGCGCTCAATGATGAGCTGGGAATCTACGGATACGCGAACAGCAGCAATAGGAACTCCGAATAGACTCAGTTATCTGTGACGGGGGACAGTAAAAGCCTTTATGAGCGGCTCGAAGGAGAGGTGGAAACACTGTCGCTTGACCATCGCGCCTCGGATGCGAGGCAACATGTTGACTTGCAGTTCCGTAAGCTTCGAGTAGCACGAATTTGAAAGTTTAATCAGGAGGCGCTTGATTGTAGGAGTCGTCGAAAAACAAAATAGTATGCAAATTGGGAACAGGCGCCACGGCTGGGCAAGCAAGGTGTTGAAGGCCCAGTCATCATACCTTAGGGCGTGTGTGATTCTAGTTTTCACCTTAGGTTTATGTTTGTGATTCGATTGTAGCAAGTGAACACTAAGCGAACCTGACTCGATTTTGAGCGTTTGCAAGGTTCCAACCGCCGGTGTCAAAAGTTGTAAACTCACAATCACACGCGCAAGTGCAAATCTGCAAGTTCGAGCCTGTAGGGGAGAACCGAAGCGCTCCTAGGGTGCGTAGGTTACCCAGTATCGGCATTTTGACAGCGCGACACGTCAACGAAGTCGAACGAATGTGTAGCGAGTGTCGTACACTCCTCGTACGTGCTTGGGCACGAGGGCGAAATGCGCGCACTGTGGTGGAGTGGAATCGCAGGATCACTGCCTTTTCAGCTGCCCGGCGATCCAACCTGTGGTGGTGATGAGGAAAGCGGTTCAGTGTATGAATCCGGGCAGGGACATGCGATCTCTCGGGGACATGCTCTTCCAAAGGAGTGACACGTCGACTGGCTTCCCCTGAGGCGACAATCATATCCATTACAGCGCACCAAGTTTGGCTGGAGAGGTGCAACGTGTCAAACATATATGCTGGATATTGTCTAGGCTGTAGTGGGGTAGCCCATATGGGGTACAGCCCAATTAGGGTTTACTACTTGTACTCCTGCATGCTGCTAGTTCATTCATTCCTGCTGCTAGATTCTGACATGGTTTCAGAGCACTAAGGTCCGTAGGACCGTTTTTTTTTTCCGGGCCCACCTACCGCTGCGGTTACCGCGCTACCCCACGTACCTGCCTGCCTTGCCTTGCCTTGTGACGTGCTGCACTATGTGCGCCGTCCAGCAGCCCTAGCGCTGCCTCCTACTGCCCTAGGCCAGCGCACTGCCCCTAGAGGCCCGTAAGGCCCACGCGCCGCCCCTAGAGGCCCGTAAGGCCCGCGCAGCCTGCTGCAGCCGCGCGCAGCCCGCACAGAGCCCGCGCAGCCCGCGCCGAGCCGCGCGCAGCCCGCTGCAGCCGCGCGCAGCCCGCACAGAGCCCACGCAGCCCGCGCCGAGCCGCGCACAGCCCGCTGCAGCCGCGCGCAGCCCGCACCGAGCCGCGCACAGCCCGCTGCAGCCGCGCGCAGCCCGCAGCTGCCGCGCGCAGCCCGCGTCGAGCCGCGCGCGGCCTGCTACGGCCTCGCGAGGCCCGCGCGCGGCCCGCAGCAGCCCGCGCCGAGCCGCGCGCGGCCTGCTACTGCCTCGCGCGGCCCGCGCGCGGCCCGCAACAGCCCGCGCCGAGCCGCGCGCGGCCCGCTACTCCCTAGCGCGGCCGCGCGCGGCCTGCAGCAGCTCCGCGCGCTGTCCGCGCAGCCCGCGCCGAGCCGCGCGCGGCCCTCTGCCTCGGCCACGACCTGCCGCTGATGCGGCCCCGCCCTGCAGCTACAACGCGCTACTGCTGCTGCTACTGCTACTGGCAGGTGGCCAGATGCAGCTCCAGCGACGTTCACGCGAGCCTCTGACGCCCCAGCAGCTTAGTGAGTGGTATACTAGCTGGGGTTGTCGCAGTAGCCGTCGTAGCTGTCGCCCTGGAGCTGGTCAGTTGGGAGCGTCTGGCAGTGGCCCGCTACAGCTGCAGGGGCGTCCACGTGAGACACTTACGCCCCGGCAGCTCCAGGAGTGGTACGCTCAGTGTAGCAGGTCTACGCGTACAGTTCGCTGCCCGTACGTCATTCGCACAGGTGCTAGGACTGGTCAGCCTTGTGGGACGCTTGGTCACACACAGTCCCGCTGCTTCGCTCGTCTGAGCGACGACTGGCGCACAGTGTTTGGCGACGAGGCTGAGCTCCCCACCTGGCTGGAGCTGCATAGACAGAGGGTAGATATCTTTGCGCGTGACTATGATGCTATTCTCACTGCCATGTATGCATTGCCTACTAGTGCTGATCGTGCCTGTTCTCTGTGCGTACCGCCTGACCCTGGTGAGGCTGCTGCTCTAGGTGCTAGTGCGTCTCCTGCTCTAGGTGCTGGTGAGGCTGCTGCTCTCGGTGCTAGTACGTCTACTGCTCTAGGTACTGGTGAGGCCATGGCTTCAGGTGCTGGTGAGTCTGCTCTCTCTGGTACTGCGCCACCTACGGTCTCGCACACCTTCACCCTTGACTCAGGAGCTTCTCGCTCCTTCTTTCGCGACTGCACCACACTCACGCCGCTTAGTCGGCCAGTTCCAGTCTCCCTGGCGGACCCCTCCGGGGGTCCAGTCCTTGCCCACTACTCCACGGTTCTGCCGTGTCCGGCCGTCCCGTCCGGCTCGCTGTCAGGTCTTTACCTCCCCTCGTTCTCTACGAACTTGGTGAGTGGAGCTGACCTCCAGGATCGGGAGGTTGACCAGTTCACTCCTGCGAGTCAGCGAGTGACTCACTGTACGTGTGCTAGGACGGGCCGGCACTTGGCCACGTTCACCCGTGCACCTGGCTCGAGTCTGTACACACTGACCACTGAGTCCCCTCAGGTAGCTGCGTCTGCGTCTACGTCTGGTCAGCTGGCGGCCCCCTGTGAGTGTCGCGCTTTGTCGCACGACACTCTCCTGTGGCACCACCGTCTTGGTCACCCCTCCTTGCCTCGCCTGCGTCGCATGCACTCTCGCTCCCTGGTCTCTGGTCTTCCCAGGTCCCTGCCTGCCCTCCCTCCCTCGCCTGCGCCGCCCTGCATTCCTTGCGTCGAGGGGCGCCAGCGCGCCGCTCCTCACTCCTCCTCGTTTCCTCCCACAGAGGCTCCCCTGCAGACGCTCCACCTGGACGTGTGGGGCCCAGCCCGCGTCCAGGGACAGGGCCGCGAGCGGTACTTCCTGCTGGTCGTCGACGACTACACGCGTTACACCACGGTCTTCCCCTTGTAGAGCAAGGGGGACGTCCCTGATGTTTTGATCCCTTGGATCCGCGCTGTTCATCTCCAGCTCCGCGAGCGGTTCCGGCGGGATTTTCCTGTCCTGCGTCTGCACTCTGACAGAGGTGGTGAGTTCTCCTCTGACCTCTTGGCAGCCTACTGTGCGGAGCACGGCATCACCCAGTCGTTCACGCTTCCGGCCTCTCCACAGCAGAATGGGGTTGCTGAGCGTCGCATTGGCTTAGTCATGGAGGTCGCTCGTACCTCCATGATCCATGCGGCTGCCCCCCATTTCCTGTGGCCGTTTGCGGTCCGGTACGCCGCGCATCAGCTCAACCTCTGGCCC